AGAGCTCAATTGGTTGATGGTCAGTCCATAGCAACTAAATGATCGAGGAGGAGATGGTGGAGCACCAAGACGGGGGAAGTATGCTCTCAACCACAATTGAGCGAGCCAAAGAGGCCCACTGCCAGTGGGAGATGCACTATTCCTCAATTGAAATTTGAAGGAAGTCATGCCTCTATAAATGCGGCTAAAAATAATGAACAGTGATTCAAAGGCCTACCATGCTCTAATTCATGCTCTATGGGTAGATAACTCATAGAAGGTTTCATACTGGGCACACAAAGGACGTATTTACAAAGCCAAACCTGAAGAAAGGCCATACGCTCAGTAAGTCCTTGCATACCCAAATATGACTCAGTAAGCTTTTTGTCAAATTTTGGGGCAATGCTGGTAACCAAAATGTCAGAAAAAATGGTATCCCCCAAGGGCGGAAGGTTTACTAGGGCTCCAACGTCCCTTACAATAATAGACATTGGGCCAAGAGGGAAAATAAAAATATTGTACTCAGACGACCAAAAACTTAGTGCAATAGGAAAAAGCACCGGGTCATAAATTGAGGGATCGAGAGCAATTTCTAATAAATCAGAAATCCTAGCACGATCAAAAATTGCTTTGGTAGGGCCATGATTTACCGTACGTTCATGTCACATACGAAAAGTAGTGTCAGTTTTAGGCCAGATACGAATACCTTTTTCGCGAATCGGCTTCCGCGGTAGAGAGTTCAGAAAATGATGGTCTTGAGTGCAAGGGAATAACTGACCCACTTTCGCTTGTCCGACAGATTCAGCATCATTAAACAACGGACCCAGATAAAATTCATGGAGGTTAGAGTTGGCTGGTGAAAGAAAAGTTGAATTTATGTAGGGCTTGGTAAGGAGGTTTTAGAAGTCTTCAAAGCTAAGAGAGTTGTTAGAAGGACTTTGTGGAGTCGCCATTTGCTGCAAAATACAATTTTCGTAAGGGATTGTGAGAAGCGTAATAGGGAAATAAGAAGATAAACAGTAATTTCTATAGAGAAAGATAAGCGCGCGATGCAAAGACATAGGTATAATGGCGTGATGAAGTGGCGTGTCCTTTGGTTTATAGGGGTTACGTGGTGTTACACTTTTCAGGATGTAGAGGGTTACCGCCAAATGAAAATAATGATTGGGATTATCGCCTTTTTCAAGAATGCAACCATTGGCAGAAAATACAAAGGAAAAATATGACATGAGATTAATACTTGATATTAATTTTACCATATTGGGAGGTAATTGTTGACATACAAAAATGAGGCCCAATTAAATGGTCCAAGAAATAGGGCCTAGTTAGAGAATTTAAGGAATATGCACAAATGAGACCATTGTAAAATATAGTGGAGGCTCATAAACGGAGGACTATCATCGCTCAAGCCTACAGGACGCCCAGAATCTGAGCGAATGAAGTACCTTATTGTTGCTCAGAGCTACGGTCATATCCTCGCCCAAGCCTTCGAGACGCCAAAGATTTGGGCGAACATAGCGTCCCTGTTGTTATTTAAAGCGGTGGTTATTGAAGCAATTATTGAGTAATCTTATCACATTCCATGATCCAAGAATCTCAGTTGCAAGCAGTTAATGAGAGTAGTGGCAACAGTTTAAAAACGACAGTTCCTTGACACGTCAGCCATTATGAAGCAAGTGAGTAGTTATAGAGCGACAACAGTTTCCAAATGGTTTCACAAGGAAAACTGGCAAAAGAGTATAAAAAAAAAAAAGAAGAAGACGTAGAAGGAAAGATCCCAAATCAATCACTCTCAAACAGAGAATATGTAATTTCATTTCTTTTAATTCTTATTATCAAACTTTTAAATTACTTTGTGTGATTGTGCTCCTTGGAGGCGTTTTGCTTCTTCCCAATTGTAATTTTCATAAATAAAGCACCCCTCGTTAGGACTTTGTCTCGAAATGTTTGTTCCTTACACAATCGTCTAAACCATCTTTTAATTGTTAGCGATGCTCGATAATCTACGCGAAACAGGTGCGATTTTGGAATTTAAAACCACTAAAATGGGGGCATGAACCTACCAAACCACGATGTTTGGTGTCCCTAGGGCCACCTCAGAATGAGAAGATAAACTAGACTTTGTATAGTAACTAATAGCTATTGTATAATGAAACTTGCGTGGTTGATCAAGAAGATGATAGAGAAGTTAGAACATGCTAAGCTCACATTGGAATTCTCATTCTCCTGTGAACCCTGAAGGTAGATGCTAAGCATTTATCGGCTTTCGAAATGGAAACGTAAGAGGTAGAGCCAAAGGAAGATTTGTCTTATAAATAATTTCCAATAGCTATTCTTGAAAGGAAAGTGCATGTTTTAAGAAATAAAAAATAGCAATTATTAGGATTCGTTGGCAAAACTAGGAAGTGGAAAAATGTAAAGAGGAGAAGATATGAAAGCCAAGCATCCACGACTCTTTACTTTGTTAAAGTAATTTCAAGGATCCAATTATTTTAGGGAAAGGGGGGTAACGCTTTGATTTTTGTTTTGTTTTGATGCTTAATATTATCAATTTACTCATTAGACATTAAGATATAAATTTTAGTCCATGTATGGCATATCGAAGCCCAATCTAATGTCTCAAGTCTATGCAGTATTTTATTAAAATTAAATTAATTTAATTGTTGTTTTTGCCTTTCAAACAATTTTATATAATAAATAAAAGAAAAAAGAAAAGTTCAAAACCATCAGATTTTAGAATTGATTGAAAATCAAATTTAGAAAATAAGACAAAATTGAATTTATGCGACTGTCCCCACTTCCCAAGGCTCACCCACGTCTCCATAACTTCCTCCCTATTCCTCTTTCTCTATTTATCCCCTGTTTTTCTAACTCACCCACACATTCTCACGTATTTCTTTCTGCACTGTCCTACCTCTCCCGTAATTTAACAAATTTATTTTCGAATCAATTACATAGAGATTAATGCTATTTGTTTGATGTACAAATAGACGACATAAAATAGAGAAAAAGATTAAAATAATTAAGTTTCTTTTCTTTTTCGTTTCTCTTTTTTTTCCTATTTCTCTCTCTTTCATGTCTTCTACATGTACACAATAAATATACAAATAACATTACTCTTATATAAAATCATACATCAAATTCTCCTAACTCCCCATAAAACATTCGTGTTCAATGGGTGCCTCTAAGAAATGTGACTATGGTGTAGAGACACATGCCAACATTAAACAAAGATAAATTTCAAATCTTACTCTCATAAATAATTTCAATTAGACTCGTGCATTCGCTCAAGATTAAATAAATAAGTAGTTCATTCTGTAATAACTTAACACTTTATATGGGATGATTCACAGCAAGTTAATTTTTATTAATAAAATTTATTTTCTGAAAAGAAAATCATAAGAAAGAGTCACTATCAATTGAATAAGCATATCAAAAAGAATGAGGTCTAGCGTCTCCACGTACCATTGAGACATGAGATGAACTTGAAGTAAATGTTAAGCAGTGCTGTACAAACTTTTAACATGATATAAAAACAAATAACTAACCATCCTTGAAGTTCCATCTTTGCTCATTTATTAAAAATTATGTTACTTCTCATGTTTTTGATAAAAATAAAAATGACGATTCACGATAGAAAGAGATAAGTTAAATAAATAGTTTATACCCAAATTTCTAGTACAAGTTTATGATATTTTGTCCATGAATAATGTTATATGTACATGAAGATACATTAAATGATAAAATTAATAAAGTAAATGTCATATCACACGTTTAATTAGCATTTTCAATTATCATTTACCCTATGTTATTGGCCACAACACATAAAGATGATCTCCAATTTTTACATACATCATATTCATTGCCCATATAGATTGGCATGAAATAAGGCTCGAATTCCAAATCAGGTAAGGCTATTGTTCTATCCGAAAGTATGTGGCAGTAGAGTTGACTTTCTTATTTTTCTCGCAGGAAAATCATGGCAGCAGAATGGTTGACTTTTATCTTGAATTGAACATACTATGAAAGTGATATATAGTAATAATTTTTGGGCATGCAAAAGGATAAAGCTTGAATTTTTTAATTGAATTTTGGCTCACGCAATGTAATCTATTGACATGAATTGTTGGTGGGTTGTTCACCGAACTGTAACAAGCTACAAGATCCAATCCAAAACCCATGAGTTCATGAAAAGTTATAAACAATTTCTTTGCTTTATTTTCTGCATTTTTTGATCGTATGATTCATTCATTAATATATTTTCAAGAAAACTATAAGCAAATTCTTGGCTTTATTTTCTGCATTTTTTGAGTTTATCCCGAAACCCATGATTCATTTATGAAATGATTTTCAAGAAAAACTATAAGCAAAATCTTCGCTTTAGATTGTGAATTTTTCTTGAGTTCAATGGAATGGAATCTCATTTTCTGTTTTCTCTCAACTAATCTCATTTATTTCTCTTCATTGAATGCATGAATTTGAAGAGTTCAGCTATTTTTGCTGCAGAAATTAGTTGGAATTTGGAAATATAGGGAGAGAGGG